AGGCTCAGTGTGGACAATTCTGAGAGATAAAAACTCCAGAGGCACCCAATCACTGGGGTGGGGATGAGGGACAAAATTTTTGAATTTTACCTCCAGGAACTCAAATTCTATTTGAATTTTATGTTTTCACCTTACATATTTTGATGCTCTCTTGTTAGGTGCATACACACTAAGGATTAGCATGTCTTCTTGGAATATTGACCCCTTTATCATTTTGTAATGCTCCTCTTATGCTTGATAACATTCCTTGCTCTGATGCCTGCTTTGTCTGACATTAATATAGCTACTCTTGATTTCTTACGATTAGTGTTAGCATTGTGTATCTTTCTCTATCATTCTGCTTTTAATTACATGTGTCTTTATATTTAAAGTGGGTTTCTTGTGGACAACATATCAGGGTCTTGATTTTGATTCACTCTGACAACCTTTTAGTTGGTATATTTAGACTATTGATATTTAAGGTGATTATTGATATAGTTGGATTAATATTTGCCATACTTGTTTTCTATTTACCTTTTTGTTTTTATTTTTGTCTTTCACACTTCTGTCATTTTTGTCTTTGATTGATCATTTTTATATGATTGTATTTTCTCTCTTTTCTTAGCAAATCAATTATATTTCCTTTTTTTATTTGCTTTTTTAGTGGTTGTCCCAGAGTTCCATAGCACTGGAGAACACTTCCCCTCCCCGACACCTTACCACCACATTACTAAAGGCCTATTTACTTCAATTCTTTTTACCCAGAACAACATATCCGCCTTTCAACAAAAAATTAAAAGGCATACTAAAGGGCAAAAAAACACAATTTGGAAAGACAGAGAAAGCATAAGAAGCAGACATGGCAGAGATGTTGGAATTATAAGACTGGGATATACCACATTCTGGACCATAAAACACAGCTTAACAAATTTAAAAGAACAGAAATCATACAATGTCTGCTCTCAGACCACAATGAAATTAAACTGGAAATCAATAACAGAAAGATAGCTGGAAAATCCCCATAAACAACACATTTCTAACCAACACATGGGTCAAGGAAGAAATTTCAAAAGAACTTTAAAAAATATTTTAAACTAAATGAAAATGGAAATACAACTTATCAAAATTTGTGGAATGCAGCAAAAGCAATGCTTAAGGGAAATTGGTAGCACTGAATGTATATATTAGAAAAGAAAAAGATATAAGAGCAATAATCTCAGCTTCCTCCTTAGAAAAAGAAAAGAAAATTACATCCAAAGTAAGCAGAGGAAAAGAAGTAATGAAAATGAGAGCAGAAATCAATGAAATTGTAAACAAGAAATCAATAGAGAAAACCAACAAGACCAAAAGATTGGCTCTTTGAAAAGATCAAAAAAATTGAAAGGCCCCCAGCCAAGCTAACTAAAAAAAAAAAAAGAGAAGACAAAAATCACTAATATCAGAAATGAAAGAAGGAGCATAATTATAGATCCAATGGACACTAAAGGAATAATAAAGAGCTATTGTGAACAACTCTGTGCCTACAAATTTGATAACCTACATGAAACAGACCCAATTCCTTGAGAGACACAATCTGTCAAAACTTTAACAAGAATAGACAATCTAAATAGGTCTATATCTATTAAAGAATTGAATCAATAATTAGTAATCTCCCCAAAACAGAAAGTACCAGACCCAGATGGGTTCACTGATGAATTCTACCAAACATTTAATGAAGAAATTATACCAAAACTCTACTTTCTAACTCATTCTATGATGCCTGTGTCACCCTAACACCAAAACCAGAAAAAAACTTTGCAAAAAAAAAGAAAACTCTAGACTTCTATTTCTCATTAATATAGATGCAAAATTCCTCAACACAATGTTAGCAAATCAAATCCAACAATGTACAGGAAGAATATATACCATAACCAAGTGGAATTTATCCCAGGTAATGCAAGGCTGGTTCAACATTTAAATATCAATTAACATAATCCATCACTTCAACAGACTAAAGAAGAAAAATGTGATCATTATCAATAGATGTGGAAAAAGCATTTGACAAAACCCAACATCCACTCATGATAAAAACCCTCAGCAAACTAGGAATAGAGAGGAATATCTCAACTTGATAAAGCACATTTACAAACAAAACCTATCCCTAATAGCATACTTACTGCTAAGAAACTTGAAGTTTTCTCAATAAGATCAAGAACAAGGCAAGCATATCCCCTCTCACCACTACTTTTCAACATTACACTGGAAATTCTAGATAATGCAATAAGACAAGAAAAGGAAATGTATACAGATTGGGAAGGAAGAATTAAAACTCTTTTCTCAGATGACATGATTGTCTACCTAGGAAAGTCTGAAAGAATCAACAAAAAACCTCCTGGGACAAATAAGCAATTATAACAAAAGATTACTGGTTGTCAGGGGTTGGAGGGAGGGAAGGATGAATAGGCAGAGCACCAAGGATTTTTAAGGCAGTGAAACTATTCAGTACAGTACTATGTAACCTCAGTGGTGAATGCATGTCATTATACATTTGTCAAAACCCAAAGAATAAACAGCACCAGGAGTAAACCCTCATGTAAACTCTGGACTTTGGGTGATGATGATGTGTTGATGTAGGTTCATCAGCTGCAACAAATGTACCAGTCTGGTGCTGAATGTTGATAATAGGGAAGGTTGTTCATGTGTGGGGACAGGGAGTCTATGGAAACTCTGCATTTTCTGCTCAATTTTGCTATAAACCTAAACTGCTCTTAAAAATTAAGTTTATTAATTTTTTAAAGTAGCTCACAGTGTGGAGAAAATAGAGTTGGAGCCCTACTCCATTTTATTAAAAAATAAACTCTTAAGTGGATAGAAGACCTAAATGTGAAAGGTAAAATTATAAAGCTAATGGGGAAAAAAATACTGGAAAATATCTTTGTGGTCTGTTTTTTAAGGCAAGACTGCAAAAGTGCAAGCCATAGGAGAGAAATTGATGAATTTGACTAGATGAAAGTTATTTCTGTTGAATGAATTCCAAAAGTAAGATGAACCTCTGGGTGAACCTCCCACTACATAGTTTATATTGCTGAGAAGCTCTCGTGGGTTCGCAAGTAGAGCAGCGTGAAGAGCTTCATTACAGCAGTGTTTGTGGAGGTAAAGATCTGGAAGTCAGCTGACTGTGCCTCACTGGGAGAATGGATAAGTAAAATGTGGTTTATGCATGCAGTGGAATACTAGGCTGCAGTCAGAAGCAATGAATTACATTCACATATAGTAATTTTGACATACAGGTAGCCCCACTTTTATGAAAGTTCATGTTATGCCACTTTGCTTTTACAGAAGACCTACACTAATACCTGTGTTCACAACTGAAAGAAATCCAAAGAAGATTTTCACTTTTATGAAAAAGGCAAAAAGTGAAAATGGCACTCAGCATTTGTTTTGCAGTGAGCTGTTTAAAGGCAGTGCACACCTGAGCAGCAAGAGAAATATGGCTATGTATACTCAGCATCTCAGCATTAAGCCCCATATAGCTTTGAACTGTGTCTGTGAACACCTGGGTTTTATCTTGACTTATTTTAAGCATCTGTTTGCAAGATGTGTCCTAAGGTATCAGAAAAGCCTAAGAGAGGTGATTTTTGGGATCTGGGAACGCTCAAAAATTTTCCGTATAAATTCATGGTAACTGCTTCTTCAGTTTATACCATTCCAGCTTACAAAAGATTTCATAGGTATGCTCTACTTTCAAATAGTGGGGGAAACCTGTATCTTAAAAGCATAAGATTAAGTGAAAGAAACATTAAAATACAAAACAATTATATGTAACTTCAAGTGAGTTACATATATGTGTGTGTATATATATATACATAATATATATAATATATACACATATTTTATACCTACATTATGTATTATATAAACATGTATGTTTATATATATATACACACACTCAGAAGGACATATATAAGTGGGAGTAGGATAAAGAATATAGAGATAAACAAAATATAATAGAAGATTGCTGCTTTTGCTTTGTCCAGGGATAAAAATATATGATGAACTAAGGAGTTTGAGTGACTTCATTTTTTTTACCTGCTGTCCTAAAAGGAATATGAATTTTTAAAAGTAAAATAAATACAATATGGATATTATCTTATTAAATTGTATTTGAAGATTAAATGAGTAATTCAGATAAAGCACTTAGTGCCTAGCACATACTAAACACTCGATAAATGTTATCTGTTATTGTTATTAGCAGTACTCATGACACAGCTACTACCAGTCAATTGGAGTTGGCGCTTAAGACCTATTGGATTTAGATGATTTCCCCCAAGAGATCCTTCCAGGTCTAACAGTCTGTAATAGTACTAGAGGGATAAGCAAATTCTGGCAGCAGACCCAGAAGCAAACAGAGAAATGCTGAACCAGTCTTGGGGAATGGGAATGGCTACCAGTTTTTTTGCAGTGTCCAAGGAAACCTTGATGGTTAACTTGGGAGAACACCAACACAATGCACAAACTCAGGAGGTAGAGACTGCCAAATAAACAGTGCCATGAAGCTGGGATGGAGTTTACGGACTTTGGTGGACTTCCTCCAAAGGGGTGTTTTCTTTTAGCATTTCGATTTCAAGTTCTAAAACTGTAGCTGAATTACAAATTTTAGCTATTTAGAGAGTGTTGGCTTTGGATTATCCCCTCCCCCTCCTCTTCCTCCTTCTCCACCTCCTTTTCTTCCTCCCCTGAAGTGGGACACGGGTATGATAGTGAAATAAGCAAGATCATCACCTAGTGGCCTGTCCTTAAAGTGCTGACACTAGATCCTGGTCCCAGAGAGCAGAGCACATGTGCCAAATCCTTGCCTTCATGTTAATTCAACAAGCATTGACTGGAACTCTATACCAGGCACTATTCTGGTGTCTGGGGATATAGAGCTGCTAACACACAACGACACGTTTAAAAATAAAATTAAGGAAGTGTCAACTCGGAAACTTAAGAAAGAGCCTTCCCAAAGTGACATTGCATTTTAATGTGTTTACTTTCCATAGATCATAGATGAAGAAGAAACACAGTTTATGAGTAACTGCCCCGTTGCGGTCACTGAAAGTACCCCACGGAGGAGGACACGGATCCAGGTGTTCTGGATAGCACCACCAGCAGGAACAGGCTGTGTGATTCTCAAGTAAGTGAATAAGGGGTCATTAGAACACTTCACTCTCCCTCCCTGCAGTCTGTCAAAGACTTCATGGTGGGGTTGCTGAAAGAAAAGTGGCTTTGTTGGGGCATCAGATGAGTGGCATCAGCCCTCTGCCCTTAGTTATCTCAACTCTGAAATGGGGTCAAGGGCCATTACTGATGAAACGCTATAAAAAGAATCATTTGCCCAAATCTCTAATATGGAGATTTCAGTGATTCTCGAATTCAGTGATTCTCCTGGCCATGCTCTAGCTTCTAGAGATATTGATACTAGCGCTGGCTAAGAAAAATTACAAATCAGGTAAGGATAATCTCTGACTTCCTCCCTCTGGAATTTAACACCACTATCTTTAAATTGCGCTAGGCTGACCTGAGACCTAACTGTAACCTCCTTAGTCTCTGGCCCTCCTTTATGATCTTATTTTCTTCCTCTTATCCTCAAAACTGCCCTCATGTGCCACTTCCTATCTGGTCTCCTGATCCTCCCTTTGTTAAGTTACAATGCATGGTAAGAGGTGTTAACTTGGGGGCGCCTGGGTGGCTCAGTTGGTTAAGTGTCTGACTCTTGGTTTCAGCTCACGTCATGATCTCGGGGACATGAGATCAAGTCCTGCATTGGGCTCAGCTCTCAGTGCAGAGTCTGCTTGAGATTCTCTGTCTCTCCCTCTCCATCTGCCCCTCTGCCCACTTGTGTACATACTCATGTGCACACGCTCTCTCTCTCAAATAAATAAAATCTTTTTTGTAAAAAAAGAGGTGTTAACCAGCTAATAGTTTTCCTGTGAAAGTAGCATTATCTCAAACCTGTGTCTCCAAAATGGTGTGCCGTGGGATGATGTTCAGAGAGATGTAAATAGGTGGGCAGGAAACCAATTTCTACAGTTAAGTAAGTTTGGAAAATGCTGTAGACTATATCCCCTTCTTGCAGATTCACAACATATATTAGCAGATTCAAAGTTCTGCAAAGTCCTACTCAAATGAAATGTGTTTAACTTGGTTTCACCAGCATTTCCCAAACTTATTTGACTCCTTTTTTTCTGAGACATATATTAACATTCACAAGTTTGGAAATGCAGCCATAACCTATTTTAAATACATTTAAAGACCGTATAGAGGGATACTGTGAATTTTAGGATTTCAGACAGGCAAATTGTCATAGGTAGATGGACAAGGCTCGAGTCCCAGCATCCAAGAAGCCATTTTCCCATGAAAATTCCCAACCATCTTCCTCTTATTTGAGTCCTCTGGGGCCTTATTTATATATTTGGTTCATTTGTCTACACCTCTGGCAGGTGGACATTTCGGCAGTCTTAAAACTGTGGTTAAATTCAGCCCACCTCTGAGGGGCTACTAAGGAGACATTCCAACCAGGCAGTCCAGTCCCTGCAGCTTCTGGACTCAGCTGTGTCTGGCTTATGAAAAAAAAAAAAAAAAAACCCAAAGAGGTCTCTGGAAGCCTCTGTGCATTGTCCAGGCCCAGCCCTGTCTTTGTCTAGCCTCCCTTTGCTGCCCCCTATCCATGTATCACTTGTTTCTTAGTTTGATGCAAGCTGAACGTGCTTACTCAGATTCCTTGAGCAGTTGGTCTCTTGGCATCAATCTGTATCAGTGGAAAAAAAAAAAAAAGAATTAGCAGTAGAACTTTTAAATATGAAACCTTATATATAAACCCCAGTATATAACATGTATCTAGTATCTAGCTGAACTATGGGAGAAAGCCCGTGGAAATAAAGGCCACTGAAATGAGAACAAACGGGGGCTATTTATCGAGTCCTGGCTATATAACAAGGGAGTCAGCTGCCATCACTAGCATTTGGCGGGGACTCCAAGACTGGCCGAGGAGTGGGAAATCTTTATAGGGGAAAAAAAAGGGCAGACTGCAGGTATGTTCTGATCGGAGGGTAGATTATTAGCATGGGGACGCTGGAGCATCTTATGTGATTGGTTTGGAGAGCGTATTTGGCTTTCTCTTGTTGGTCCTGAGTTGGAAATAGAGGAGGCAATGGGGGCAAAAATTAGATGAGCTGGTAGTCAGTGACACGTCCTAAATGTTCTGGCTGACACTACAGGGGTTGTGGTTCCCAGGCTGGTTGCTGCTGAGTTTGGGGGTCAGAGTTCTATTGTTGTCGTCCTATGTGGCCTGCCTATTGTGCATTGGTGTTTTCGGTGTCTCAGCCTGGAGACCAGGTTCCCGGCGTGGCTATCTGGTACGCACACTCTTGCCCCTGACTGCCTGGTCACTTCGCAGAGCCTGGAGCTCTGAAGAAGAAAGTTGGAAAACGTTAGATTTATGTGGTGAGTCTTCCTGCTCTGAAAATCCTGATCCTTCTGGCTGAGATCTCTGGTTTTCTTTGACTTACTGTTCTCACAAACCAGAAGTGTTTGATCTTCCTGGCAGAAGCCAGAAAGGCCTCTCTTGTTTACCCGTTAACAATGAACATAGGTGAACATATGTTTATCCCTTAACAATGAACAAGTGTGGCTTGTTCAGTCCCTCGTTCTTTCAACAAATGTAACTGAGCTTCTATTTGCATAGGCATGCAGGATATATAGACAACTGAGGTATGTTCTTGGTCCTCAAGTTTCCACGGGCCAAATGGAGGAGAGAGAAAAGGTCAACCAATACTTTCTATGTACCAGTAATTCAGCAGGCACATCTAGCGGGTTTTATCAGATTTAATCTTCCTAACAAACTACTTCCATTTTACAGAGGAGATCCCAGGGAAATTAGGTGAGTTTCTTGAGTCACATATCCATTTAACTCCAAAGCCCCATGTTCTTCCTTTCTTTTGTTGGTTCTTTTTTTTTTTTTTTTTAAGAAGGTATCTGGAGGAACAAACCAAAGATATCCAGCACAAATGGGAAATCAATATCTACTTCTGTTTCTCAAAATGGCTAGTTGGTTGTCCCACATCCATTTATTGAAGAGTTTGTCCTTTCTCCAATTGCTTGAAATGCTACTTCATCAAATATAAAATCTTGACATAGGTCCAGTTCTGTTCTGCTGGTCTTTTTATCTATTCCTGCACAAAACTCACACCATTTTATGGCATAATTTTATTTTATGTTTTGGTAGCAAGTTATCGCCCATTAATCTTCTAGTTCAAAACGTTCATGGCCATTCAGGCAGATTCATGTTTCCAAACGAATCGCAGAATAAGATCGTTGTAGTTCAATAAAACTTACATTGGAATTTTGAGTGGGGTTGCATTGAATTACTAGTTCAGTGTGGGAAATGTCAGCATCCCCACAATATGTTTCCCCAGTCAGAAATATGGAATATCCCCCATTTATTTAGGTCTTTTATATCCTTCAGTAAAGTACTGTAATTTTTCTTCATTGAGATTGCACATTCTTGCATGGCTTTTTCCTCATAGGTATTTTATAGTTTTAGTGCTTTTGTGAATGGGCTCCTTTTTTGTTCCTATTATACTTTCTAATCATTGATTGCTTGTGTTTAGGAAAGCCATTGATTCTTGTACTCTGAGTTTGAATCTGGACACTTTTGAGCTCTCTTGATAGTTATAATGGCTTGTTCATTCATTTTTTGCGGAAATTATGAATAAGTATACCTTGTGTTTCCTTTTCGTGTCTTAGTTTATTATCTGTCATCTCTAGTAGACCATTAAATGGTGGTGTTCATGCTTATTCCTGATTTTAATGGGAATTCTATGATATTTTACTCTTTAAGTATAACATGAAGTACAGGTTTCAAATTATGCTTTAATCAAGTTGAGAAGGACTCTTTTTTTTTTTTTAGAGACGGAGGGAGAGAGAATGGGGTGGGGGAGAGGGAGACAGAAATTCTTAAGCAGGCTCCATGCCCAGCGTGGTAACCCTGAGATCATGACCTGAGCCAAAATCGAGAGTTGGACACTTAACTGATGGAGCCACCCAAGTAAGTGCCCCGAGAAGGACTCTTGATCTAGCTGATCTTCACGTAGAAGGCAGCATTTGGGGAACTGGCCAACCAGTATTCCCTGTGTACCTGCCATGTGCCCAGAGCATGGGAAAGACTCAGGGTATAAACAACGATCCTGACTTCCAAGGTATTTTCAGTCTGGTTATGGTATAAATAAAAATATGCATGCAAAGGTTAGCAAGCCCAAGGCAAGCATGAACTGGGGACAAATTAAATATGGTTAGTCAGAAAGGAGATGAGCGAGGAAGGGAATAATGGGAGCACCAGAGTTTCTTGGAAAGTTAGTGTGTATCTTCAAGGCTCTAATAGGGTTTGGATAAATGGACAGAAGGATGAGCTTATTGCAGGTGACGGGGGTGGAGCTAGTGAAACTGAGGTGAGAATAAGCCTGGCAGCCCTGGGAGACAGACACTGTGAGATTAGAAGGTCTTTGGGGGCCAAAATCCATTGCTAAGTCATGGAGGTCTTCTAGTGTCAAGATGAAGAGATTGAATTTGATTCAAGAGGAACAAGGGAGCCATTAGTGGTTATTAAACAGTGGACTGACATGCTGGGAGGAAAGTTCATTAAAAAGTTAGTAAGGACACTTAAATCTGGCAGCAAAGCTCAGGACGGATGAAAGAGGAGATGCCGACTTTCTTGCAGAACCCTCGCTTGCAAAAAGGAGCATTGGTGTTGCGGTGTTCTGTTAATATTCCTGGTAGGATAAGCTGCAGAGTCTGCTAAATTTCTGTAGATGAGAGCTCTGAAGCCTTGGTTAGTTGTGTTCCTTTGCCCACGAGGGCAGGAAGGGAAGCACATAGCAATTACGACTTTGCTTTTGGCGCAAACCTGACCATCATTTCCATTTTCCATTCAGATGCAAAGATTTGAACATTTCTAAATTACATGCTTTCCAGGCAGACCTCCTTCTAGCCTTCTCCCTTCACATGAATGATCCAGCACTTAACGTTGCCCCGGCATGCTACATTGCTGCCAGAATGCTGTAAACGTGATAGCAAAGTAGCAACTGAGGGAAAGAAAGAGCCCCTGTGAATAGAATGGCTGTGTACAGACCCCACCAG